GATAAGCTGTTAACCTTAATTAGCAACTATTCCTTTTCTTTTTCTTTCTTTCTTTTTTTCTTTCCCTTTCTTTCTTTCTTTCTTTTTTTTTTTTTGAGATGGAGTTTCTCTTTTGTTGCCCAGGCTAGAGTACAATGGCATGATCTCGACTCACGGCAACCTCCGCCTCCCGGTTCAAGTGATTCTCCTGCCTCAGCCTCCTGAGTAGCTGGGATTACAAGCATGAGCCACCACGCCCGGCTAATTTTGTGTTTTCAGTAGAGACGGTTTCTCCATGTTGGTCAGGCTGGTCTCAAACTCCCGACCTTAGGTGATCCACCTGCCTTGGCCTCTCAAAGTGCTGGGATTATAGGCGTGAGACACCGCACCCAGCCAATTAGCAACTATTTCATAACACGTACTCTCTTAGAAACAAGCACAGAAACTTCTCTACTTATAAACCTTCAATTGACAAACTTCCATAGTTTCTGATTATAAAGCTCTGAATAGTCAAAGATGATATCTGGGTGGTAGCTATGTTATACATGCTCCACAGGCGATTCTGATTTGCAATCAATATTGAGAGACAGGCTGGGCGCAGTAGCTCATGCCTATCATCCCAACACTTTGAGAGGCTGAGGCAGGAGGATCACTTGAGGTCAGAAGTTCAAGACCAGCCTGGTCAACCTAGTGAGACCCCCGTCTCTTAAATGTATACATTGAGAGACATTGCGATAGGTGCTCAATAAACATTTAGATGGATGACTGTGGATGAATAGATGGGTGGATCATTGTACAAGGTGGAGAAGGAGTTCTCAACCTTGGTACTATGGACATTTTAGGCCAAATAATTATTTGTTGTTGGGGGAGGGGTGCTGTTCTATGTGTTAAATGGGAAGTTCAGCAGCATCTCTGGCCTTTACCCACTAGATGCCAGTAACATCCCCCAAACCCCTTACTCTCCATTATGACAGTCAAAAATATCTCTACACATTTCCAGATATCCCTAGGGAGCAAAATTGCCCTGATTGAGAACCACTTGGATAGATTAATGAATAGGTAAACAGATCAATGGATGAATGGATGGACAGGTGGTTGGATAGAAGGATCGATGGATGGATGGCTGAGTTGATGGATTATATGGGTGGATGGGTTGATGAATGGTGGTTGGATGGGGTAGATTAGTGTTGAGTTGATGAATGAGTAGGTGAAAAAATAGATGAATGGCTACGTGGATGAGCAAGTGGGCAAGTGGAAGAGTGAGTGGAAGGGTGAATGGATGAAAGATCAGGCCTTGACCAGGCAGGGTGGCTCATTCCTGTAATCCCAGCACTTCGGGGAGCCAAGGTGGGTAGATCATTTGAGGTCAGGAGTTCGTGACCAGCCTGGCCAGTATGGTGAAACCCTGTCTCTACTAAAAATACAAAAATTAGCCAGTCATGGTGGCATGCACCTGTAGTCCCAGCTACTTGGGAGGCTAAAGCAGGAGAATCACTTAAACCCAGGAGGTGGAGGTTGCTGTGAGCTGAG